GAATAGACACCTCCTCGATGCAGGCTTGACGAGAGTGTCCACCATATTGATGTTAGCGGCGGTATTGAACATGTGGCTATGCGGGTAGAAGTTAGACTGCACGACTTAGCTATCGTATCTCACGACCCCTGAACTATCACAAGGCCTGGTGTGGTAACATTTACAGGAACCTCGCAGAGTCACATACCATTTCTTTTATTCACCTGGCTACATTTACGAAGTTATTTTGTTACTCCCAAATTTGCTAAAAAACAAACCTTAATCTACCTACTGAACTTGGACATATAGATGGCGGAGCAAGGTTTACGAGAAATAAGAAAAATTATATTAAGATCTACAAGAGACAGGAAATTGTGGAGAGCCTTGATCACCTAAGTCTTGAAAGGGTATAGCATATAGAAGGGCCAGAGGCTTGGTAAATGTTGATTAAGATGAGGTTATCTTTAATAAAATGTAGATTTTCTTTACAAAAATTGGACTGAGACTGTTCTTTTAAAGTTGTATAATTGTTCCAAATTTAATCATTCATTTGAAACGGGTAGACATTTATGACTATGTTAGGTCAGCGTCTAAAAATATGCAGATATTTTTACAACGTCACGCTTTAAAATATGCATACACATCTTAATATCTTATGCTTTATCGAGGTCTTAAAATATGCTGACACATTTTAGTACATTATACTTTGTCAATGAATTAAAATACGCAAACACATTTTAATACGTTATGCTTTTATCAATGACTTAAAATACACAGGCACACTTTAATACATCATGCTTCTATCAATGCCTTAAAATTCGCAGGCACCTTTTAATATCTTATGCTTTTATCAATGACTTAAAATACACAGGCACATTTTAATACCTTATGCTTTTATCAATGAATTCAAAATATACAGGTACATTTTAATACGTTATATTTTTTCCAATGATTTAAATACACAGGGACATTTTAATATCATATGCTTTTATCAATGACTTAAAATACGCTGGCACATTTTAATAAGTTATGCTTTTATCAATGACTTAAAATACACAGGCATATTTTAATACGTTATTCTTTTTTCAATGATTTGAAATACACAGGCACATTTTAGTAAATTATGCTTTGTCAATGCCTTAAGATACACAAGCACATTTTGATATTTTATGTTTTTATCAATGACTTAAAATACACAGTCACATTTTTATACGTTATGCTTTGTCAGTGCCTTAAAACACACAGGCACATTTTAATACGTTATGCTTTTAACAATGACTTAAAATACACAGACACATTTTAATTTTAAGACACTGCCTTAAAATGCGCCCCCTGAACAGATAGCTTTTTGATGAAATATATAAATATCTTTTACTTTATGCTTCGTCAATATCTTAAAATACGTATGTACCTTTTGCTAAGTTATACTAAGTCAACGCCTTAAAATATTCAAGCATTTTAATACGTTACGCTTAGTCAAGGCCTTAAAACATGGAGCTTTTTTTTTTTAACGAAACGTAGTCATTGTCTGCGAAAATGTTGATATTTTTAATGCATACTTCTGGGTCACTACTTTTAAAGATGGCGATATTTTTATTCATTTAATCTGCGTAAAAGCCGAATACATTTCGACTTTTTTTGTAATGGGGTTAATCTTGCTCAAAGCTCATAAAGATGTCGGCTTTTAAAAGAAGAAAGTAATAAAAAAAAATAAGTGTATCAATAAATTACGCTAGTGTCCTCACCAGGAGTTGAAGTAGATAAAGAGACGAAAAATAAAAATAAAATAAAAGATACTTTCTGGTTCCTTGATGAAAATAAATGGCAAAACAGACCCAGCCTTTATGGCATATTAGCAGACTTTGGAGTACAGCTTCAAGTGCAGATTCTCCTCGACCGTGCTTATTATTTCGATCAATGCAAGTTCTATTTATAGAAAGAAGCTTTTGCATCTAATTTCAGAAATTCATCAATACTTTTAGCTTTTACGGCCACACTTGTTCGTTCTTCACCCCCAACTTGTTGCTTCAGTAGAGCGTTTTCTCATCTCTCAAATACCTCCCGGTGCACGTCTTCGCGTTCCGTCGAGACAGAAATAAATTATCCAAATATAGTGTCAATCGTTTTTTTGAGAAAAAATCTATTAACTTTTTTGAAATGGGTAGACATTTATGACTATGTTAGGTCAGCGTCTAAAAATATGCAGATATTTTTACAACGTCACGCTTTAAAATATGCATACACATCCTAATACCTTATGTTTTGTCGAGGTCTGAAAATATGCTGACACATTTTAGTACATTATACTTTGTCAATGAATTAAAATACGCAAACACATTTTAATACCTTATGCTTTTATCAATGACTTAAAATACACAGGCACATTTGAATACCTTATGCTTTTAACAATGACTTAAAATACACCGGCACATTTCAATACCTTATGATTTTAACAATGACTTAAAATACACAGGCACATTTTAATACGTTATGCTTTTTTCCATGGCATAAAAGCTTTAATTTTAAGACAATTCCCTTAAAATGCGCATCCTGAACAGATAGCTCTGTGATGAAATATATAAATATCTTTTATTTTCTGCTTATTCAATATTTTAAAATAAGTATGTACCTTTTACTAAGTTATACTAAGTCAACGCCTTAAAATATTCAAGCATATTAAAATGCTTGAATATTTTAAGTCGTTGACGTTACGCTTAGTCAAGGCCTTAAAACATGGAACTTTTTTTTAACGAAACGTAGAGAATCTGTACTTCAAGCTGTACTCCAAAGTCTGCTAATATGCCATAAAGGCTGGGTCTGTTTTGCCATTTATTTTCATCTAGGAACCAGAAACGTGTAACCGGTGTCCCACATAGCATTTTTAGCGGTCCACAGAAAATTCGTAGCCATAAAAAATTGTAGCCATTTCACAAAAATGTATCTAAATTATTCATACTTTGAAAAATTAAAAAAATATAATTTTTTTAATTACATACATGTCCATTATGTTTGAAAATTTCGAAATTACGTTCGTATTATGGATTTTTATATTTATTTTATTTTTTATCATATCTATCTATCTATCTATCTATCTATCTATCTATCTCATACTGTTCATATCTATCTATCTATCTATCTATCTATCTATCTATCTATCTATCTCATACTGTTCATATCTATCTATCTATCTATCTATCTATCTATCTATCTATCTATCTATCTATCTATCTATCTCATACTGTTCATATCTATCTATCTATCTATCTCATACTGTTCATATCTATCTATCTCATACTGTCCATATCTATCTATCTATCTATCTATCTATCTATCTATCTATCTATCTCATACTGTTCATATCTATCTATCTATCTATCTATCTATCTATCTCATACTGTTCATATCTATCTATCTCATACTGTTCATATCTATCTATCTATCTATCTATCTATCTATCTATCTATCTATCTATCTATCTCATACTGTTCATATCTATCTATCTCATACTGTCCATATCTATCTATCTATCTATCTATCTATATATCTATCTTATAAATGGAAGACAACTCAGCACCATTACCATTTCTTGTCATAGAAATATCAAGACAACATTGCGACATAAAAACTGAAAAGACACCCAGTATAAATGTAGACTTTTTTTTACCAAAATTAGGCTGAGACTATTATTTAAAGTTGTATAATTGTTTTAGATTTAACCAATCCTTTGAAACGGGTAGACATTTATGACTAAGTTAAGTCAGGGTCTAAAAATATGCAAATAGTCTTACAACGTCACGCTTAGTGCCTTAAAATATGCATACACATCTTAATATCTTATACTTTGTCGTGGTCTTAAAATATGCAGACACATTTTAGTACATTACACTTTGACAATGCCTTAAAATACGCAGACACACTTAAATACGATATGCTTTCATCAATGCCTTAAAATACACAGGCACATTTTAATACGTTATGCTTTGTCAATGCCTTAAAATACACAGAAACATTTTAATACGTTATGCTTTGGGATAAAATATCAATGCCTCAAAAATACTTAAAATACAAAGGCACATTTTAATACGTTATGATTTGTCAATGCCTTAAAAAACACAGGCAAATTTTAATATTTTATGTTTTTATCAATGACTTAAAATACACAGTCACATTTTAATACGTTATGTTTTGTCAATGCCTTAAAAACACACAGGCACATTTTAATATCGTATGCTTTTACCAATGACTTAAAATACACAGGCACATTTTAATATAACATGTTTTTATCAATGACTTAAAATACACAGACACATTTTAATTTTAAGACACTGCCTTAAAATGCGCCCCCTGAACAGATAGCTTTGTAATGAAATATATAAATATCTTTTATTTTCTGCTTATTCAATATCTTAAAATAAGTATGTACCTTTTACTAAGTTATGCTAAGTCAACGCCCTAAAATATTCAAGCATTTTAATACGTTACGCTTAGTCAAGGCCTTAAAACATGGAGCTTTTTTTTTTAACGAAACGTAGTCATTGTCTTTTAATACGTTATTCTTAGTCAATGCCTTAAAATACATAGGCACATTTTAATAAGTTATGCTTTGTCAATACTTTGTCGCTAGATAGGTTATGCTTTGTTTTTCCTTTTTCATATTATCTTCAACCTCTCCTGTGAGCATCATATTTTCCAAGCCTTCTTTCCTCATTACGTGCCCTAGAAATTCCAATTGTCTCTTCCTGATTTTAAGTACAAGTGTCCTTTTTGCTTAAATTTCCTCTAAAATCTCATCGTTGCTCACATGTTCGGTCCATAGTATCCTCAGCATCCTTCTGTAGAACCACATATCTGTTGCTTCATGTCTCATCATCACCTGTGCAAAGATTGTCCAGCATGCCACTGACTGATCTTCATCGGCATTGAATGTGTGACTGCTAAATTCTGAGTACCCTCGTCTACTATGGTAGCTACGTACTCCCTATGGCAGGTACTAGCCCAGGCACATTTATATTCCTTACTGCCGTATCACGTTGAAATACCGGTTCTCGTACGATCACCGAAGTTAAGCAACTTCGACTCCGGTCAGTACCTACATAAGTGACTGCTTGGGAATGCCGTGTGCGGTAAGCTTGGACGTGCGGGTGGTGTAATGGATAATGGCTCGGAACTGGAAATCGGAGAGCAGAGTTCAAGTTCCAGTCTGGTTAGATATTTTCCCTTATGTGCAAATAGTCTTAGGAAATGTATGAATCCACTTCTTCCCCCCAGCTATGGGTTAATCAGTAAATCATCCTCGGCATCCTTTTGTGGAATTAAATTTTTGTTTACTCAAGTCTCGTCTCCATTTGTGATGAGATGCTTCCGTATTCACTGCCATATAGAAGTATTTGTCTTATATAACAGTTCTATACTCTTTTCTTTGTTTCCAATGAATTTTTTTTCTATTTCTTAGTACTTTGCTTAGATTTTAGAAGGCATCTTTCGCTATCTCTTTCAGATTTCGGTGTTGCATTTTCCGTCTTTAGTTAAAACATATCCTAAATATTTAAATTTTGCCACTTGTTTCATTTTGGTTTCTCCAATTCGTATCTTTTTTTTTTTTTTTTTTAAGCATTGAGCCCCAAGCAAGGCGTGAAGCCACTAGGATGCAGGGGGTTTGGAGCGAGAGCAGATAAGAGTGATAGGAGAAAGGAAGAGGAGAAGGATAGTGGGTAGATCAAGGTAATTGGAGATGTCGATTGACATTACATTTGAATAGTTGGAGATTATAGCTTTCAGGGAAACAGTAATTTGGGAGGGTGTTCCACTGGCGAGAGGTGCGAGGTATGAAGCTATTGGAGTAGAAGAGACGGCTACATTTGAAGGTTTCTACGGTGTAAGGGTGAGAGCGGGATGCCAGCCTCGTAGGGCGCTTGAATTCATGGAGTCTGGGAACCAGAGAGAGCAGCTCATCAGAGCAGTTACCATGGAAGTATTTGTAGAAAAGACAGAGAGAGGCGACGGCGCGTCTGTGAGAGAGTGACTGCAAGCAAGACGCTAGATCAGGGCCAATTAGATTACATATCCTTCTCTGGATCTTGTCAAGAACTCCGAGGTAAGCAGAGGGTGCTCCAGCCCATATATGGCAGCAATACTCCATGCAAGGGCGAATGGTTGTTTTGTATATTTGAAGTATCGATTCAGGGGAGAAAAATTTCCTGGTGCGGCACAGAGAGCCAACTACAAGAATTTTTCTTTCCCCATTTTCTCCCCTTATTCTATTTACCGGAATGTGAATTGCAATTATTTCCAGGGATAACGCTCACATTAAAACTACTTCACCGTTTAATTACTTTTATTTTTTTTCTATGTGATCAATCATAATACATCTCTATGTAATAGAAGAAACGGACTTTTAAATAAGAAGTAATTCTCTTAAACCGATATTGCATCGCATAATATTACAATAAAATATTGATGAGTAGAGCCATAAGGTTAATAGTAAATACTACAATGTTTCGGATATATATATTTCTTTTTTATTATTTCTCCGCTTTCGTATAATCGTATTCCCCGCTTCTCAAAGAGTTTGCGAGCCAATGTATATTTCTGGAACTTATCTAATACTCAAATCGTCTGGTTCTTTTCTAGTCTGTCTTTTAAAGCAGTATTCCTCAATGTGGTTCCGGTGGCCCACCGGTGGCCCACCGGTGGCCCCCATAGCATTTTTAGTGGCCCACAGAAAATTCGTAGCCATAAAAAAAATTGTAGCCATTTCACAAAAATGTATCTAAATTAGTCATACTTTGAAAAATTAAAAAAATATAATATATTGTTTAATTACACACATGTCCATTATATTTGAAAATTTCGAAATTATGTTCGTATTATGGATTGCTATATTTACTTTATTTTTTATCATATCTATCTATCTATCTATCTATCTATCTATATATATATATATATATATATATATATATATATATATATATATATATAATTATTTATTTAAAAATATGATTCCAACTCGCGACATAAGAGGTCTCACGTTTCAAAACAAGAGCCGAAAACTTCAATATAATTATTTGAATTAAATTGAGTTAAAGTAAGCTCTGTTCCATCTTCAAGCGAAATTTTTTTTGGAATAACGTATTTCTGAAATTTACGTGTTTTAATAATTTAAATCAAAATTTCCAGGGAGAATTGTTTAAATTGGGTAGGCGTGTGTTGGGTGTTAATAATAAGTATCAGTATAGAGTTACTTTCGTAGATGTCAAGTCAGGGAAAGGTGGGAGTGTCTAAATTTGAAACGGAAGATGTATTAACCCTAGTCTGGTTGGCGTGTCTATGAAGATTTATTTATTTTTTTATTTTATTTTTTTATGAAAGGGATTTGGGCAAATAAAAAAACTGCCGTAACGTTTGTTTTTTGACGACTTCATAAAGAGTTATCTTTTTTGTAGGGTATTTAAACTATTTATTTGGGCTATGAATTATGAAAGTTATTATATTGTATGCTTGTTTTTACCTAATTATTCAAACCATAAATCTGATGATGTCGACAAAAAACCGTTAACTATTGTTTAATAGATTATTGTCTATTGTTTAATAGATTATTATTATTTACAAGCTTCTAAATGTCTTCTCATGTCGCGAGTTGGAATCATATTTTTAAATAAATAATTATATTTATGCTCTACTTTTGTATCGAGCACTATTTTTAAAAAAATAATAACTAAAATACTAAGGAACTTTGGATTATTTACCTAACCAGTTCCTTCCTATTTTCTATATATTTTCACACACACACACACACACACACACACACACACACACATATATATATATATATATATATATATATATATATATATATATATATATATATATAATGTTATATATACTATATATAATATAAATTTTTTATGATTGATTAATTGCTACTCGATCTTGCAACTCATCAGTTAAAGCCGTATTTCTCAACGTGGTCAAGTTGGACCAACGTTTGTCCACATAGCATATCTAGTGGTCCACAGAGAATTCGTAGCAATAAAAAATTGTAGCCATTTCACAAAAATATATCTAAATAATTCATACTACGAAAATTTAAAAAATAATTTAATTGCACACATATGCATTATATTTGAAAATTTCGAAATTACTTAGATATTATGATGACCCCAGTTTAAAATTCGAGAGAAACACATCAAATTCAGTGAAGTTACATGCCGTAGTGAAGCTCGTTGGAAGTGTCATTGGCATGAGGAGCATTACACATTCAGCTCGCTTCAGGTGAGTTTCAATTACTTTCCAGTAATTTCCTTCTATATGATGATCTGTTACAGATAGATTATCCATTATGGCTTGTAGACAGAAAATTATGTACGAGGACATGAAAATATTGAGTTGGCTGAAATGTTGCTGGTCTTGAAAGATAATGACAAACTGAGAAGAAGAATTGACAAAGAAAGTTTCTTTGCCTACATATCGATAAAAGACTCATACCTAAATATCTTTCAACATGGAGAAGGAAGCATCATTTCTTTCTCTACCACATGGATGGTGGAATCTGAATTTTCGGTTGTTGGGAATGTTTTCGGTAGAAAAAGAAACAAATTACATCACAACAGTAGAGGAAATATCAGACTAAGACTGAATGACGTCATCAAAATTGATTATAATATTTTGTGTCAGAAACACCAAGATCAAGGTAGTCACTAGATGAATGGACTAAGACTGAATTACATAAATCACAATTGATTATATCTTGTGTCAGAAACACCGGCTGAATTGAATAGGAGAGAATAACACCATCAAAATTTATTCTGATATCTTGTGTTTATCGTTGTTTACTAAAATAAATTTTAAAGTGTAATAGATTATTTTGTCTTTTCATTGAATGTTATTAACAGTTTTTTTTTTTATAATGTCCAGTCGTGATGTAGACGAAAAATGTAAACCCCACAAAATGCCTGTCTATTTATCTATATTTTTATTTATTGCCGTCACAACAAGCGAATCTTCGCGTTTTCTTGGACTCCCGTTTTTCGCTCTGACATAATGTGGACTGATTTTATCGAATCATTTGCGAGAACTTCTGCTGTGATAATTGTTTTACTGTGTCGCGCTAGGAATGTTTCTCGCCAGTACCCATTTTCCACAGTTATAAATCTAACATTCGTCCGCGCATTGAATACTGCTGCCATATCTAGTCTACTATATATATATATACCTATATATATATATATATATATATATATATATATATATATATATATACAAGTATATGATTGGTGTATACGGAATGAATTCAATAACCAACAAATACTATTCTTAAAAGAGTGCTCAATACAAAGTAGAGCAGATATAATTATTTATTTAAAAATTTATAACATAAATATGTTATAAAAATCACTACAAAAATAGCCATTTTGTTTCAACACTCTCAGTGTCTTATCAAGTGATGATGTTGAATAAGACACTGAGAGTGTTGAAACAAAATGGCTATTTTTTAGGATTTTATAACATATTTATAAATTTTAAATAAATAATATATATATATATATATATATATATATATATATATATATATATATATATATATATATTTCGATAAACGTGCAATCAATTTACAAATTAATGAATTATTCACACAAAAACAAATGCAAAGGTTAATGATTTAATTGGCGAGAAATCCATCGTCGCAAACAATTCAAATAATATACAAAAACCTCCGAACCCGTTATGAATGAAAAGATCCTTGTTTCTATAAATTTCTGCCGCATTATTTCTTATTTTTACTACAAGCTTTCGTCTGTTCTTACAGACATCTTCAGGTATAGAATAGATGTGCACGCCCCAAAAACAATAACTCATTTCCAATAGCATTTTCGGATACAACAATACATATATTTTCGTTGTCCTCTTATTATTTATAGAAACAAGGATCTTTTCATTCATAACGGGTTCGGAGGTTTTTGTATATTATTTGAATTGTTTGCGACGATGGATTTCTCGCCAATTAAATCATTAACCTTTGCATTTGTTTTTGTGTGAATAATTCATGAATATATATATATATATATATATATATATATATATATATATATATAGATAGATAGATAGATAGATAGATAGATAGATAGATAGATAATATTAGTGGTTAATATACACATACATATGCAATCATATATCTAACCTATATAAATATATATTATATATACCTAACCTATATATATATATATATATATATATATATATATATATATATATATATATATATATATATATATATATATATATATATATATATATAATATATAAATGAAAAACAGACCACTTTAAAGGTACCATTACAATAATTTATTTCACCAAAATCCTTTTAAAGGACTCCGGATCATCAAGTAACACTTCCAACAACGAAAAATATAATATATATATATATATATATATATATATATATATATATATATATATATATATCAAGTTTCTTGATAAAAGTCAAAGAAGGGTGTGTAATATAGATTTTGACCAAGCATCAGTTACTTTCTTACTGATATGACGTGACTTCCCTCTGTCTATTCTACAAATATTTACATGGCAATTGTTCTGATTAGCCTTTCTGTTTGATGTCTCAAATGAAAACAGCATCAGGCGACAAAATAAACATGTCATTCCTTGCGCCAATTAACAACAGACTGTAGGCCACTTTTTACATCAGCTGCAATTTTAATCTTATCAAACAGATCAGATTTAATTACAGCCTTTAAAAAACTGTAAAATAAAGTGAGTTCTAATTAATTAAAATATTTGCCTTCGCATAACACGCACCCGCATATAAAACACACGTATTTTACAAATATATTTTGTGGAAAAATTTTTTTAGTATCATGTATCATTTCATCATGTATTTATTGAAATATATTTGAAAGTCGTTTTGTAGGGGAAAATGTATGATTTTGTGTTTGTAAATACTCTATTGTAATAGTAGGCTGGAATAAAGTATGGAATCACATATTGTAACTTTAACCTTCAAAGGAAAGTAAATTAAACTTACCAAAGCAGAAAATAAATACTGGTACATTAGTATCAATGAGTATCGAGATATATAAACAAATAAAACTGATATAAAGTAATCAGTACTGTGCAATAAATGTGAATGAATTCTTATAGATAAGTACAGTAGACGAGGAGAAAGCAATGAGTATTGTACAAAAAAATGTGAATGAATTCTTATAGATAAGTACAGTAGACGAGGAGAAAACAATGAGTACTGTACAATAAATGTGAATGAATTCTTATAATTACAGTACATGTAGACAAAGCAAAATATTTCTCTGAATATTACAAGTAGAATACAAGAAGCAACAGGAAAAAAACTGAATGCATTCCAACTGAAATTGGTATTTCAGCAAACAGCACAGACACATTGCAAGTAGCAAATACCTAAAAAAAAGTATAGTAAAAATTTTGATGCCTAACGTACTGAGTCTCATCCAACACCCTAACCCTACTGGTCCAACACTACCGTTCATAATACGGCTGTCTTAGGCGCAGAGCAGTTTTTGGTATATTTAAAAACAAAACAAATACGCCTATATTTCTGAGATGAGGTATTATGTACTCCATTTACATTATTCGGACTATTGTCCTTATCTTCGTCGCCATGTTTATCACAATGTTTTGGCCGTTGTACGGTCCGTCCTTTTTCAGGTGGTTTGAAACCTTTATTTCACTCACTGGGGTAGATTGTTCTAGTTCCACGTGCCATGTCTAATAAATGTCAGTTATCTCCTGTTAATTTCCCTCTGAAAGTTCTCTACCGCCTTAACCAGGTATTGAACTCACACTCTTTGGGTCCTGTCACTAAATCTAGCTAATCCTTTTATCCACTGTGCCATGTGTCTTCATGGATACATGAAACAGTGGATAAAGGCTGGTTAAGGCGGTGGAGAACTTTGAGAGGGGAATTAACAGAAGATAACTGACATCTATTAGACATGGCACATTGAACTAGAACAGTCTACCCCAGTGAGCGAAATAAAGGTTTCAGTTCGACATTCCAACCACCTGAAGAAGGCCGGAGCGTACAACGGCCGAAACGTTGTGATAAACATGGCGACAAAGATGAGAACAATAGTCCGAATAGTGTAAATAGTGAAAAAAATACGCGTTTTATGCGAATTCAAATATAGTATACAATGAATTTCAAGCAAAGTGTTAATCTGGTGCGATGAAGACAAAAGTTGGGGTTTTCAAAATTAAAATATCAAGTTGAGCAAAAAATTCTTCAGATGCTGGGAAGTATTGGTGACTTTATGAATGATATCATAATCTGTAGACGCATTCCGGAAGGAAGGGAAAAGTAATGCGTTTTAGTAGGAACGAATGTGACACGCTTGGGCGACCATATCTGTCTTCAATTCATAATCGCCCAAGGATATTTGTGTACGTGAATGTAAGGAACCCGATTGACATTCGTATTCGGCTTTTCGCTTTCTCTTCCCGAAGGGTTATCCAGTACACCACCCGAACACCTAACATTACAGAACCTGGTATTCCGAAGCGGTCACACACCTCAGTACAGACCAGGCTCGATGTTGCTTAACTTCTGTGATCTGACGAGAACCATTCTTTCAATGAGATACGGCCGTCTGTATTCATTACTGTACTGTACTGATGCGGCATTCACCCTGGGCGGATTGAGCCGGCTTCTTCCTGTTATGAGAAGAAGATTCTTGGGATAAATTACAGAAGTAGGGTACCCAGGCCTACTCGGATAACGTTCTTGCTTGCCGCGGGGTTCCCACAGACGCAGAGACAGAGACGACCAGAAGCCGCCGGTTACCGATGCAGACGCTCATTGGATTTTCACCAGAGCCCTTGTTAGCCGGCGTGTGTGTCAGACCTGTCCGCCTTGGGTGGCCCTACCAGGAACGAAGTTCCGGGCGGCATAGCTCTGACACTACCGTTTACCACCCCGCACCGACTGTGAGGTAAGGGTTGGACTTTGGGGTCTGTATTCATTAATAAAGTGTAATCTTCTTTTAAGGGCCAATTGACAGCAATTATCAGTTAAAGTTATTTTATTTCATTATACTGCATCTGAAGTGTTTCTTGTCAGGTCATTTTAAATGTCTATGATTTAGGCGCCCGACTTTGTGCTTGGGCAATTAAGAAGAGACGAAAAGCGAGAATGAAGAATCACAAAATAAAAATGCTTTAATAAGCACCTGGTCACATTATCGAGGCATTTCTATGTCGCGTTTTAACACTAACCGTTTTTAAGCAATCGATCAAGAATTAAAAAAAGAGTAAAATTGTTGTTGTTGTCGTTGTTGTTGTTGTTGTTTCGGAAGTTTCTGATGAGGAAAATGATGACTACACATAAAGTTTAAAAAGAGTGACAAGTTGGAAAATTATCTTAACCTGGCAATCGAATGGAAAAGAAAATTGCCTGAAGGATTTGCATTTGTCTTTATTTGCAATTTTGAACAGTTCCGAAGAACCTCACAGAATGACGCGGAAATAGCGGAAGACTTGGGAATCTGACAAAGATTCAGAATCATTCGGGTGATCTTCTTCTTCTTCTTCTTCTCCTTCCCCTTCTCCTCCTCCTTCTTTTCATCCTCCTCCTCCTTCTTCTTCATGCCCTTCTCCTCTTCCTCCTTCTTCTTTTCCTCCTTCTCCTCCTTCTTCTTCTTCCCCCTCCTCCTCCGTCTTCTTCTCCACCTCCTCCTCCTCCTTCTTCTTCCCCTCCTCCTCCTTCTTCTTTTCCTCCTCCTTCCACTCCTCCTCCGTCTTCTTCTTCTCCACCTCCTCCTCCTCCTTCTTCTTCTCCTTCCCCTCCTCCTCCTTCTTCTCCTCCTCCTCTTCCTTCTCCTTCCCCTCCTCCTCCTCCGTCTTCTTCTTCGTCGTCTTCTTCTCCTCCTCCTCCTTCTTCTTCTTCTTCTTCTTCTCCTCCTCCTCTTCCTTCTCCTTCCCCTCCTCCTCCTCCGTCTTCTTCTTCTTCTTCTTCGTCGTCTTCTTCTCCTCCTCCTTCTTCATCTTCTTCTTCTTCTTCTCCTCCTCCTCCTCCTCCCCTCCCCTCCCCCTCCTCCGTCGTCTTCTTCTTCTTCTTCTTCAGATCAGCCTGTGAAGGTCCCTCGTTGGAGAGGAATGCTCCATTACCCTACTGCGCAAGTCCAAATCGTATTAGTAGGGGCGGATTTGACACGCTTGGGTGATCATGTCGCTTCTCGATTCAAGCGTCTATTTGACTTTAAAGTCAGGCCAATAGCTATTGCGAAATTGTGGAGCGTGTGTGTTTTGAAACCGATCTAAAGTAGGCTACGCTACTCTCTCTAGTCTTAGATGACAACAAATCTTGGAGAATGAGAAGCCTGAATTAAAGTCGGCCGATCAAACGTGTGCAGTAAAACACCAAAGCAGAATTCCTTGCATTTGATCCGGCTATTCACCATACCTAACCCTAACCACGAATCGTTTCGGGTCTCACCTTGCCACTGGATCCCGGGAATGTGTCTGAACCTGGATCAGTACAATCACAAAAAAAAATCCACTGACGCGAACGCCTTTACTTGAAAGACATCAATGAAGTAGCCAGGATAATTTTCATTATTAGGCGTGGGCGCCCTCTGTCGTCAAATATGAACTTTCATTTTAAATGAGTTCTTGATGCCTTGGAGATTGACTTTGAGCGTTTTAGATTTCATTTCCCGTATAATCCATGAAGGTTTAACATTAAAACCAGCCGTGAATAACTGCAACACTGATGAAATTATAAGGATTGTTATTAGGGCACTTTGACGTGTTGTAATGGTTAACAATCTTTTCTCACAAGATCTATTATCTTCGAATAGAGAATTTCATCTTACTCGTGGCCTTGTGTCACACCTAAATTACGCTTAGTAAATCCTTATTTTGGGTACTGAGACGTATTTTAATGCTTAGCGAGCTTGTCTCGTTAGATCAATTACGAATGAGTAGTGAGTTCGAATCTCACTGGGTACTCTGTACATGCGGCGTTCTTTAGAAACTCACTAGAAAGAGTATCGTTTATGTGCCACATTTTTACAAAGGCAATACTAGCTTGATACTATAGTTAGTGAAGCATTATATAATAACTAGATTTATACTAGTACTGATAAAACATCAGAAATGTTTTTATCAAATATACGGTTTCGGGAGTGAAATATCATTAACACTAACCTAGGGTACCCCAGCAGTACCTCAAGATATCATCAAGATTTGTTGGTTTTCCGTCACAGTGTGGCATTACCATATCCCTGCAGTCTCCGCTTGATTTTAAAGTCTCTTAATATATTTGTTCTTTTTGTTTGTCGTCCGAGTTTAGCTAGGAATGCCAAGGTCGAGTTGGCAATGAAGCCTTCGTATCTAACTTGAAAAGGAAGTATGGAAGCCGTCAGTACATATCTTACATATTTCTCTTGCAGATCTTGAATGTACCGAGTCGATATCTTACACAAATGCAACAAATAATACCTTTAACGCCCACGCTTTTCTTTTAGAAAATCAGAGCGTAAATAGGAGTAGGGCAGATTATTTTTTGTCAAGGACACTGGAACAAAAATGTTATATTTATGATCAGAGGCTTTGATTTGTTTTGTTTTGTTTTACGACATATCAACGTCAATGAGTTTTAAATGCCGACAGGATTTTTAGGATAGGTTCGTATGAATAGAATATGTATTCTTTGTAAGAAATCAGTTTGGTTTGGTTTATTTTGTTTTACGGCACATCAACACCTCAATGGGTTATTTAATGCCGACAAGATTTTTAGGATAGGTTCGTATGAATAGAATATGTATTCTTTGTAAGAAATCTGTTTGGTTTGGTTGATTTTGTTCTACAGTATGTTCAATAGGTTATTTAATGCCGACAAGATTTTTATTGCTAGTAATTCTTTTTTGAAAAATGTATTGCTGGTAATATTTTTACCTTCAAAAATTCATTGCTGGCAATATTTTACAAAAATGTATTGCTGGCAATATTTTACAAAAATGTATTGCTGGTATTAAAACCTATTTTTACAACTTCATAATGTTTTCACCTCATTTTGGACCACCTCTTAATTGCTGATATTCCTAGCAATTAAGAGGCGGTTCGAGGCTCCTCAAAACCTTCTGATCAAAGCCTTGCTGTTGGGTGTAGTTTATCGTCTAACCCAGGACGCTTTATGATTAGAATGATATCAGAGACAGAGACCATACAAATATAAAAGTATGTACAGTTATGCTTTGTGGATTACACAAAAAACATTTGATTTGGTGTGGGAAAAAGATCTATTTGAATTATTAGGAAAACTAAACCTACTTGGGAAGAATGTGAGAATAATCCAAAAACTTATACTGCCTACAGATATAAAATTAAGTACGCAAAAAGGAAAAGGGGCATAAGATAAGTAAGTGTCTTTTCGGTGGATTTATTCAAACCTCTACAGCGGGTCTATCCTAAGGGCACCCAAAACCCTATCAGGATTTATTATCGGTGGGTACACTCGTAACAATATAATATATATATATATATATATATATATATATATATAGGATACCGTGTTGATAGCAGTCACGGAAGGAAAGCTACGGGACCGCCTAGATAAAGCAATAAATGAATTCGAGAAGAAAGTAAAAACGATTAACTGTATAACATCAGAATGTATCGTTGTCTTCAAGAGAAAAATCCCAAGATGCGAAATGCGAATTGAAGATGCCAGCGTCAAGCAGGTGTAGAAGTTTAAATATCTGGAAAGTGTTTTAACTGAGGATGGAAAAATGTGACCCCGAAATCCGAAGGCGAGCTTAAATAGCAAAAGATGCCTACCAAAAACGTCGCAAAGTCATAAGAGACAATAAAACTTCGTTAGAAACAAAGAAAAGAGTTCTGAACTCTTGTGTAATATAAACCCACTTGTATGATAGTGAATGATAGGCAATCACCCAACGGGTGAAGAGAAAAACGAAGACAACAGAGATATAGTCCTACACAGCGCGTAAGCAATGACGAAGTCCTAAGTAAAATGGAAGTAAAAAGGAGAGTTATACGCAGAATCAGAAAGAGACAGATTAAATCTCTTGGAGTCATAAAGAAGGCTTCGAGAATTTGACACACACAGGCCATATCAAAAGAAAAGGAGACAGAGCGGGACATTTACCTGATGAACTCGTGTTAAAGGATGACAGAACAGGATGATGGGAGTCATGGCAAAGGTACAAAGGTAGCTAAAGTGTACAAGGGATAGGAAGTTGTGGATGGCCATTATCACCGACATCCTGAAGGTACACATAAAAGGAACAGAGCGGGACACTTATCTGATGTGCTTGTATGAAAGGATAAAAGAACAGGATGGTGGAAGTCTTGTCAAAGGTACAAATGTAGCTAAGGGGTAAAAAGGGATAGGAAGTTGTGGATAGCCATTATCACCCACATACAGAAGGTACACATCACGCAGGAGAAGATTCATACCAAGAATAAAACAATGAGAAATCTCTAGCGAATATATAGCATCTCTAGAAAGTGGAGATTTGGAACAGAAGAGGATAAAATGAAGACAAGGCGCGGATTTCAAAATGGGGGACGTTTCGCATTTAAGGTCGTTTTACGATGCATAGGTAAAGTAAAAAAAAAGTAAACCT